TACTCAGTTCAATTACACATACATTCAATTACTCATTACCTCCGCGTCGCTTCGTGGCCGGTCTTATATATACACAAGACTCCACTATATCTAGAAGGATCACGAGATTTAAGGAAAGGACGTGAATGTTCGAGAACGACGTGGCGTAATACTAGTCACGTGACCTCGATGTCGTAACAATACTGATAGTAGAGCAAGTCTAATAATTTGTTGTGTGTGTTTCATACTTTTAAATTATCAGTCTGAAATAGCAAACGAAGGTTGTATGTTACGTTAAAATGTTTTGCTATTTAATGTCCAGAAGACACACTGTTTAAATCAATTTATATATATATATATATATATCAACTTTGATTTTCTAATCTAGGGACTCATCTTATCGACCAAAAGACATTTAATTAAGAGTACCTTGAATTCTTCTTGGTCACTTTTAATAGAAATTGAAGAAAACCATATTGTTTAGACTAGGTGCAAACATTTTTTTAAAAACTTCTACACAATATCAGTTTTTAAAACTATATATACATGTAAATGGATGATGTTTTACAAAGACGTAAGTTTTTACTGTAATTTTTAGCTTGTTTAGATTCGTCATCATAATGTTGTTTAATTTCTTTAAAGTTTTAATAGTAATGAATGCTTAAAAACATTTATAAGAATCTATCATGGTTTTGACAAGCTGCTATAAAAAAAATTCACAGACTTGAAAGAGTCGTATAAAAAAATGTTAGGAGTGTACTTTCAGTTCCGTGTCGTGCGTAGAGATAGAACACATGGTCAACAAAATATAAGCATAAAAAAACTCGACTTAAGTCAGTATAAAAGTGATCCAAGATTTTTATAAAACTCAAAGTCAGTATAAAAGTGATCCAAAATGTTTATAAAACTGAAATTAGATAAACATTATATCAATATAAAAAAAACGGGAACTAAAGTAAAGCAAAATAAACAAGCAAATGAGGAAAAAGCTTAACCCTTGTTAAACCCATGTAGTCTCAACACATTTTTTATTTTTATTTTTTTGCAAGGGAATACTGCGCTTGAAAGCAAAACAAAACTTAATGTTATATTCCCTCATGTTAATAGAAACCTTTTGGCTTTAAGTTCTGTTGGCCTCGAGTCGAAGTTGAGAAAGAATGTGACGTACAAAAAATTATTATTTATATACACATGGGAGCGCGTCTGTGTGAATGTAAATGTGCGTGTATACATCGTATAACAGAACATTTTCTATACTACAACAATAAAAATGTATATCAAAGACGATGACGTTTTGAAAAAAGTAGCAATTTAAAAGTTTATCTTAGAACAAAGGACAAAGTACTGAAGAAGAAACTAAAGAATAGAAACCTGTTATTAATCGCTCAACATGAATCATTATTTGTTAAGCTTGTTTAACATCCACGTGAAAAATAATAACGTAAATACAGTCAGAGTTGGCTAAATCGATCTAATCATTGAATATGTTTTATTTATTTGTGTTTGTATATAAAGATATGATCGTGAATTGCCCTAAACTATCCTATAATTATATCGTATATTTCATCATGTCACATGATGTTTTTGGCCATTATTTAAGAAGCAATGATAATTTTATAACAAAAAATTGGTTACTGGTATTCAGACGGCACTGGTGGAAATGCTCAAAGTCAAAATTCTTTAAAAAAAAACAACAACGATTTATGAAACCACAAATTATTCAGTATTTTATTGTGTTTTTGAGACTAGGAAAAGTCTTGTTTTTGTGAGTATTGTGTATAATAAATCGTTGTTTTTTTTTTATTTTGACGCTAAAAATTGGTTAATTAAATCGTAAGACAACGGATATGAAAAATTGAGGAGATTTCCTACCAGCTAGTTTCTAATATTACTTTATGTATGTCAGTTTAGCAAATAAGTGACTCATACTTTTATAACCTTTATTACCCATTTCCTGAAATGCACACAAAATTTAT